AAAACAGTGGATTGTAATTGATGACCCATAACTATCTTTGATGAACTCAACTGACTAATTCACTATGTACTATATGAAAGCAGATTGAATATTTTTTTTTCCCATTTATTTGCTGATGTCCCAAAAGATTCTGATATCTTTGATAATGGCATGGAAAATGTATGGGAAGGAGACCAATAACCGCAGTATCACTGTGTAAGTTCACTGGTTCCATGATTGGAAATGTTGAAAGAGCCATCTATTAATGAAGGAGAAACAATGCTCTGATATAGCTGAAAAGTGATGGTGGTGAAACTTACATTAAACATGAAGGTGATGAAAAAGTGGAGATTATGAATTCATAAAGGCTCACTTACCCAACAAATGAATTCATAAGGTTCTCATGTCAACTCAAATATGATATTGGCAATTCACAGTGAACTCTTGAGAACCAAACTGATCTGGTTAATTGGGATCACACGCGTCATTTTAACTGGCCTGAAAATTCTCCATTCATATTTTTAGTTTCTTCTTTTTCCTAGACTCTAAAATCTGGAGCTCAACATCTATAGAATGTAGCTAATATATTGAGTACCAAGTTCTGTGGGGCTTATCATTGAATATTGCTTATGTCATTAAGATGATATTTCATTGATTGTGTCATGAAAATATACCTTAAGTGGATTTGCATATTTATACCAATTCAAATTTCTGATTATTTGAGAACAAAGAAAAATCAGTTCCTGGCAAATTAGAGTGAGGGACATGCTCAAAGCCAGAGACTCAGCAAGGGTCCCGCTGAAAACAATGATCACCACTTCATGTTACAGTGTTATAACTGTAGAAAGTTCAAGAACTAGAACCGTTATTGGTACTGATACTGAAAGAAAGAGAAATACCCAACTTATCCATCAAACTTTGTAAAGTTCTAAGCTTCCTGATTTACTTTGGCAGAAATCATATGAGCAATCCTGTAAACGTCTTCGGGAAGAACTTCACAATTGCTGGTTTGATTATATTCCAGATACTTTGAGAAATGAATGGGCAAGCTGTAAATCAGGTATGTACTATTTTCTGTTGGAACTCAATTGCCCATTGGAAGGCAGTTGAACATACTCTATTTAGAAGGGCAGATTAGGGTTACTGCTTAGGAGGATTCCTTTGTTGGTGTGAAATATCTCTGCTGTATATACCATGTAAGTGAAATTTGTATGGAACTAATTACTTTGCTTAACATATATGTAGCTCTTCAGGAATCTTCCCAATCTAAGGATCCTTTTTTTGCACTAGACCTTGCTTGCCACCATAATAACCTTCCTTGTGGTAATAAAATGCTTTTTTTTTTNAGACTCAGCAAGGGTCCCGCTGAAAACAATGATCACCACTTCATGTTACAGTGTTATAACTGTAGAAAGTACAAGAACTAGAACCGTTATTGGTACTGATACTGAAAGAAAGAGAAATACCCAACTTATCCGTCAAACTTTGTAAAGTTCTAAGCTTCCTGATTTACTTTGGCAGAAATCATATGAGCAATCCTGTAAACGTCTTCGGGAAGAACTTCACAATTGCTGGTTTGATTATATTCCAGATACTTTGAGAAATGAATGGGCAAGCTGTAAATCAGGTATGTACTATTTTCTGTTGGAACTCAATTGCCCATTGGAAGGCAGTTGAACATACTCTATTTAGAAGGGCAGATTAGGGTTACTGCTTAGGAGGATTCCTTTGTTGGTGTGAAATATCTCTGCTGTATATACCATGTAAGTGAAATTTGTATGGAACTAATTACTTTGCTTAACATATATGTAGCTCTTCAGGAATCTTCCCAATCTAAGGATCCTTTTTTTGCACTAGACCTTGCTTGCCACCATAATAACCTTCCTTGTGGTAATAAAATGCTTTTTTTTTTAATTTTAAAGTATCCTTTTGTTTCTTATTTTGTTAAACAGTACTCGTGTGTTACCAAGTTTCGTTTCATCCTGCATCTCAATCATTATTGAAAATTATTAAATTGTATCATTTCAGACAGCACACCTTCTGCTCTTGCTTGGCATAGGATGGTTGAAGCAGTCAAGGTTTGTTCAACTTATTTTGGACTCCAACTTTCTTTGATTTTTGGAGAATGTATCCCTTTTATGCATGCTTTTGAGCTATTAAACATGGAGACTGATATGCAAACTGGTATCTAACATGGGGTGAGGTGTCCTGAAGGACTCCTCAAGAAGGAACTGCTGTTCTGATTTCAGTTCCCAAATTAATGCCCATTTGGAAAAAGTTGTTAAAATTGAAGCGTCATAAAATTTTATTGTAAGAATTCAGATTGAGATTCATTGGACTGGGCATATATCAAAGCCCAAAGGTATTTTCCTTTCATTGTTTTAATGCACTTTTTATTTTCCTTCTTTGCTTGATTTGCATCGTAGAAATTTAAAATGGACACCAGATGTTAAAAACGTGTTGATGATAAACTAGATAGGTCAAAGCATGACCATATGACTATATTTTTTAAACATGATACAATACCATGGCTTGACAGTTACTTGTAATTTGACTCTCTCGTCCCTCCCTCTCTCTCACACACACTCCCCCCCCACCCAAACAAAAAAAAAGAAAAATTCCACACAGGTATTTAGTTTTTGTGTTCTATGCATACTATCTTCTGCACACATCCAATTTGTGAATTTTTCTACCGCAGTCATTGTGCATGACACAGTAATCTCATGATGATGCAGTTCTCATAGTTGTTACATATTTAGGTTTTGGTTCTCCATCTTCAATTGAAGCCATTTATTTTTGGTGGCGATCCTTTTGATAATCCATTGATAAGCTTGAAAAGCAGTTCCTTGGCTATTTCAGGAAGAAAATATGCTTCAGATCTTTCATCTGCAAGCTTTGGGTCAGACATAGCGTTAGGTGGGTCATGCATCCTGTGAGATTCCCATTCAGTTCTTACACTGCTCCCGAAAATCATATTCTCACAATTCTTCTTTTCGAAAATCTTGCAGGCTCTGGAATCCCTTGTCAAATTGCATTTTCAAAAGGAGGGATAAGGGATATCTATATCATAGCAATAGCCAGGGAAACATCTGGCAAGTTGCTTCTTTTGGAGAAACACCCCTTACACTCTAAGCGAGGAGTTGTAATCGCTATTGCTCCATTGGCGGGGTTGAGTGTAAGTCTTGTATTTAATAACATAACTTTCTGTATGTTATAATGCCATTGTGACAGTAACTAGTTTTGAGCCTGATAGTAGAAAGTGGGTCTCACAACTCACGTTTTCTGAGAAATAGGATAACTGTGATCAATCTTCAATTTTCATGTTGGCCTTCAGATTTGCAATTGTTCTTCTTCATATATTCAGGTTTACGGTTGGAACACATGATACTTTCTTGTGCAAGCCATGCCAATGTGCCTTAGAGGAAAATTGTAAAAGAAATTGGGTGTGTGTTTGTTGAGTCAATGAAGTAATTATGGCTCATCACATAAAATTTCATTAAGCACTTGGGCGAGTATTTTTAAGATTTCTCATTCTTTCATCTTGTGCATTGAACCAACCATAGTCAACAGGCTAATTAAAGGGAAACTTGTATAAGTTAATGGAGCCATGCCATACGATTTACTATTTAGCACGTATCTTGCAAAAGGAATTTCTTATGTTTGAGTGTAGATAATAAGAAGAATTGAAAAGGACGAGTGGAAACATAAGAAATGATGGGATTGAAATGGATTCATTTGTAATAACAGATGAGATGAGACAGTGGCTATAAACTCTTTGATCATATGCAATGAACAACAGTAGTAATTCCACCCAGAAGGATAAGTGACGCATGGAGGGAAGGGGAAGAAGAAGGGATACCAAATCCTCGCAAGGATTATGTTAAGAAACACAATTCTCTATAGAGAATAATCAACTCTAATCAAAATAATGGAATTACATCCTCATTTATAGACAAACTGTCTTACTAAAAAGAACTACTCTCCTACTAAAACCCATCAACATATATCCCTACTAATCTCAATATGATAAATACTATGTAACTAAAAATTCAACTAATAACTAACAAAAAGTTGATGTATGAATCATAACAAATCTATCATGTGCATTTCCCTTTGGACCAAAAACTCTTAGCCTTTCGCCTAGGCTTCCAAATCCGGTCATGTTGGTCCAACCATCAAATGGCTATGCCATCAATAAGTGGTTATGCTTGTTTGATATCCAAACAGATTGGTTTTATTCTGTTTTTTTTATACCTATCTTCATCTGTGCTCGTCTGTGTGACTATTCATCTTTTTTATTTCCTTTTTTCCCTCCTTTTTTCTCTTGTTTTCTTTTCCGTTCTTTTAAATTTTTTCCTCCTGTAAGAGGGTATCTTACAAGCAATGAAGTATTGACATACAAAACAAGATAAGAAACATGGCAAAATTTAAAACTATAGGAGATATTAAGGGAGGCAGCATGGCAATAAAGACTATTTTCTTGTGTGAAAATCCCTCTATTTTGTTAAAGGGCCATTAGTGTGGGCATGGCATGGGAGGGGGAAATCTATCTACATGGGTATTGAATCAAAACTTCCTCAGGATCTCCACAAGTGAAATCAGCAGAGGAAATACATCCAGAAATCATATGACAATCAACATGAATATACGAAAAGGAATCTCATGTTCCATGGTTGTTGCATGGAATACGTAATTCAAATTGTATAAGCAACTAACACTCTCATTGAAACAAACACAGGGTGATTACACGATTATGTGTATACATATACTGTACAAATGTCTGTGGGACTCTCATTGAATAGACATGCACAGGGTGATTACACAATTATTTGTATACATATATTGTACAAAAGGTCTATGCATATACATACGCGTTCAGTGATAACACTTTCTCGCAGATATACTTTTGCTGCCAGGAGCTAATAATTTTAGTTGACATTGATTTTGACCCATTCTTCAACTTTGAAACCAGCCGAAGATAGATGAGAACCATCCATCATGGTTGCATCTTCAGATTAGAGATTTCGACCCAAAGTTTGAAGCAAGTAAAATAAAAGGCCATCACTCGAGCATGTCCATTCACGAGGCTGATCGCCGATGGACACTTGGTTTTTCAAATGTGGAAACTTGTGAGGCTGCTCGATCGATGATTTTTGAGGAAACTAGTAAGCAGAGGTCGGCAGTGGAGAGCTTGCTTGCTACACTACTTCAGGACAATTTTCCAGGAAATTCATCAGATAGTCAAGGACTGTGAGGCAAAGATGTGACGGGATATAGGTTTGCCTACTAACAAATTTGCATTCTTTTTATATCCGTGTGTGTGTGAATGTATGTACTCATATATCTGTATTCATGGATGTGCACATGTATGAATGGTTAAGGGAGTTGTGCTGCTTAATAATGGATGTTGAGTCAACTGACTAGCATAGATGAAATACAATAGTAATTCCGACAGTGCTGTAGTTTATTCTTCAGGTGTTATTTTTAGTCTTCTAATATTAAACATGAGAATTCATGTTTGGTATTCGACATTCAGAGCTTTTAGAGAAGACGATGTAAAATATGTTTTTTTTTTTTTTTGGGTCGGCTGATGTGAAATAGTTGGAAGCATGCATTTTGGGTAGAGATTTGTCTATTTGTAAGCAGTTGAAGACGGTGAATATCCTGTTTAGTTAATGCTCAAATGTGTAGCCTCTGTTTGTATTGTTCTAAATTTCTGTTCATTCTACTTGTTGATTAAAACAATCTTCTGTCTCATGATCTATGATTCTCGTTCATTCCTAAGAGTTTCTGTCGATGTACATTTGGATTGCCTATTTGCTGTCAAGAACAAAGTGTTTTTGAGATGGGTTCAACTATGGTATTGAAAAGTTATCTTTCTGTACCATACTTTTTTCAAGTGAGAAAGTTCACTCATGGTACCCTAGCCTTGATCCTCTTGAGATTGTGCATAGATTTAGCTTTGAGATGTTGGATTATCGTATGATTCTACTAGTCAAATTTGGTTACTTTCTCTTTCCTCATCTTGTGTGGTTACCAAATAACTGTATTTTAGTTGCTGGTACCTATAGTTTCTTTGTCAATAATACCTACCTATTATTACCATGTTCCCAATGACTGAAAAATGTTTCTCCATAATTGCTATGTATTGTCCATTTCAGAGATTACATTAGCATGTCATGATAACAACCTTGTAAAAGGTATGCAGAGCCTCTAAATTGTGGGCTACCTATGGAGCTTCTCCGAATCAAGTGGACTGAGTGTTACCCCTGTCCACCGACCTTGGTTCAAACCTTTGCGTACAGCCTTTCTCAGAGCCTAGCTTGACAGAAAAACTCAAGAAATGTGTACCTATATGATTATGGTTTAGTACATATTGTTTATGGTTCAAAGATGACATACTTGTGAATTTCATTAGGGCGTGTAAAGCCGAGATCAATGATTTTTTTGTGAAATCCGTCTGTAGATGACTATTACAGTGAAGAATCAATCATCTACTTTTGAATAATGCATTGGGAGGAGAGAGTATTTGCATGTGGATAAAAAAATCCCCCAAAGGTGGGCTCCAATAAAAACCAAATAGGAGATATAAGTTTAGTGTCTGAGTCTGGTTTTTGTAACTCAAAAATTTCAGGTTGAACATTTTTCGTATCTCTTAAGGGCTAATAACTCTTATTCTTTAAAGAACATATTTTAAATTTCTTCGAGCTATAGTAGTCCGTATTCAAGTTCGAGGGANGTTATGGTTCAAAGATGACATACTTGTGAATTTCATTAGGGCGTGTAAAGCCGAGATCAATGATTTTTTTTGTGAAATGCGTCTGTAGATGACTATTACAGTGAAGAATCAATCATCTACTTTTGAATAATGCATTGGGAGGAGAGTATTTGCATGTGGATAAAAAAATTCCCCAAAGGTGGGCTCCAATAAAAACCAAATAGGAGATATAATTTTAGGGGTAGTTTAGTGTCTGAGTCTAGTTTTTGTAACTCAAAAATTTCAGGTTGAACATTTTTCGTATCTCTTAAGGGCCAATAACTCTTATTCTTCAAAGAACATATTTTAAATTTCTTCGAGCTATAGTAGTCCGTATTCAAGTTCGAGGGAATAGTTGGTGCAAACTTAAATATCAAAAAGAAAAAAAAAGGGAGATATAAAAATGATCAAAGATACTTCTAGACATAAAGAAATAGATAAAGCAAGCCTAATTAGTAAATCTTAGGGTAAATTGTACCGTTAATCTCTAAGGTTTGACACTTATTGCATTTTTGTCTTTAGGGTTTTAATTTCGTAAATTTCGTCCTTCATGTTAATACATTGACTCACTTTGATCTTTATCCCTAACTGTCGTCTAAAAAAATGATAGAAAAGAACACGTGAGCAACATGTGAGGAAGTTTGAAGGGCAAGGGAGTCATTAACCTTTTTTTCTCTCTCTCTCTCTCCCTCTCTCTCTTTGTATGTGTATGGATTTGATTCCATATTGTCGAAACCCACTTAAACACAACTCTTCCCATATCTCCTCTGCCATCACCAACGCNCGTCTTTAGAGTTTTAATTTCGTAAATTTCGTCGTTCATGTTAATACATTGACTCACTTTGATCTTTATCCCTAACTGTCGTCTAAAAAAATGACAGAAAAGAACACGTGAGCAACATGTGAGGAAGTTTGAAGGGCAAGGGAGTCATTAACCTTTTTTTCTTTCTCTCTCTCCCTCTCTCTCTTTGTATGTGTATGGATTTGATTCCATATTGTCGAAACCCACTTAAACACAACTCTTCCCATATCTCCTCTGCCATCACCAACGCCATAAGCATGCCCCCACCACCAAACACCATATAAATCAAACCCCCATTAACTACCAATCTCATTGTCAATTTCTTTTCTCTCTCTCTCTCTCCACAAAGATTTTTTATTTTGATATAAATTTTGACATGGAAGAAGTAATGGTGGGGCGTCGGTTAAGAGAGATTGAGCGAGATAGAGATCTATAGAGAAATTCACAATTAGAATTCAATTGAGTAATACCCAATTCATACCTAATTCTTCATCAATTCAAAACCCTTATTGCCACCACAACAACCATCGTAGCTCTAAAGACTTCAATTGAGCAATACCCAATTCTGATCTGTCTCTCTTGCAGAACTCAGCAGCATCGCCCATTGCAAGTTCTGAATCCTTGTGTTAGGGTTTTCGATATGTTGAGTTTGNCAATACCCAATTCATACCTAATTCTTCATCAATTCAAAACCCTTATTGCCACCACAACAACCATCGTAGCTCTGAAGACTTCAATTGAGCAATACCCAATTTTGATCTTTCTCTCTTGCAGAACTCAGCAACATCGCCCATTGCAAGTTCTGAATCCTTGTGTTAGGGTTTTCGATATGTTGAGTTTGGGGTGTGGAGATGCAATAATGATGTGGGTGTGGGGGTGTGTGTGTGTGACTACGGGTTTATGTTTGGGTGTGTATTTGTGGTTTTCTGTTGTGTTTATGTTAGGGTTTAGATGTGTAGGGTTTGAGGGTGGAGACGCAATAACAAGAGAGAGAGAATGATGTTTGTGTGTGTGAGGGAGAGAGAATGATATCTATCTATGGGAGGGAGAGAGAAGAGAAAAAAGAAAGGAAGAAGAAGGTGGGTGTTTGGGTTCATGTTTTTGTATACATACAATGGATAATTGTGTTTGGATACACAAATAATTATAAAATATCAAAAATTTCTCNATGATGTTTGTGTGTGTGAGGGAGAGAGAATGATATCTATCTATGTGAGGGAGAGAGAAGAGAAAAAAGAAAAGAAGAAGAAGGTGGGTGTTTGGGTTCATGTTTTTGTATACATACAATGGATAATTGTGTTTGGATACACAAATAATTATAAAATATCAAAAATTTCTCTTATACCCTCATGTGCCAAAGCACATGACATTTTTTGTCTATTATTTGGACGACAGTTCAGAGTAATGACAAAAGTAAGTCAATATGTTAACATGGAGGACGAAATTGACGAAATTAAAACTTTAAGGACGAAAGTGTAACAAGTAGCAAACCTTAGGGATCATTGGTACAATTTANCCTTATACCCTCATGTGCCAAAGCACATGACATTTTTTGTCTATTATTTGGACGACAGTTCAGAGTAATGACAAAAGTAAGTAAATATGTTAATATGGAAGACGAAATTGACGAAATTAAAACTTTAAGGACGAAAGTGTAACAAGTAGCAAACCTTAGGGATCATTGGTACAATTTACCATAAATCTTATTATTAGCAGTAATATGCATAGGAAATAATCTCGCATTCACTTANTTAGGGATCATTGGTACAATTTACCATAAATCTTATTATTAGCAGTAATATGCATAGGAAATAATCTCGCATTCACTTAAACATGGTGTGGGAAGGGGGAGGATCCATTGATATAGAAAGAGGGCCGAAGCCCATATTTCAAGCTTAATGAAAATGGTTCCTCTAGTGCACAATATATTTTTTGTATGCTTATCATGTAAACCACGATTTGAGTGTATTTAGAATATAGAGTAACCATTATATTGAGCTGAGACTCTAATGCAAATTTAATGCATATACATCACCCAGTTTGAACCAAACCTAAGTCTTTTTTTGGTAACTAAATAAATTTTTATTCCGAAATAATAAATATAATAAGTGATGCACAAAACATGCCTAAAAAAGGCACACCACCAGCACTATGACTTGCTCGAGAGCAATACCTAGGGGCTAAACCGAGCAAATCTCATAAGATATCTACTCAACATGTACTTTTTCTATTGAAAGAAAATTGTAATTCATAACACTAAGTGTTTAAAAGTTTCTCTCACGTCTCAAGAGACTAGGCTAATCAATTGCCTATACAGGAAGATTTTACAGTAATATTAGACAAGAAGCTTCTAACAAACATTTGCTCATAAACTCCTATTCGTCGATAATTTAGTGATAAGAAAGATTAAAAATCAAAGATGGTTTTCATAAAGAAATAAAAATGGATCATTCGAAGCTGTTTTTGGGGTCAAATGTATCATGTTTCTTCCACCAAAGTACCAAGCAACAACAGCGAAAAGCATAAAAATAAATATTCTGTGCAGCTCATCGAGTATAAGAGCCAAAGTTGTCATTTATATTTTAATGATAGCCACTTTTTGAAGTTCATGAAACGTAAGTTTTGTTTACGACAAAACAATGCACTAACACAAAAATAATGCAAACTTTTGGGAAAAAAAGTGTTTGGTACGTAA